TTTAACTGACAGCTTAGTTTCTGAGGGTGGTGTTAAATATTTAATAAAGAAGGATGCAAATGTTATTTTTTTTTGGCATTAACAAAGTCAAGTGGAGAATAAAAAATATATTTCACTTAAAACAGACTTTAAGACTCTATATTACCCATATAACAATAAAAAACTATGAGCCTTTAAAAAATAACTATATATTTTTTTCTACTGGAAAATATCAACATATAATTATCAACTCTCCTAGTTCTGAAGATGATCTTTGCCTTGGGGAAAAATAATTAGAATTGTGGACAAACCCTTCTGAAAGCTTTGCATGGCATTTATATCTGCTTAGTATTTGAAAAAAAATGTAATTTGTGTAGAAAAATTTTAATTATTTTTAGGAAGGGTCTGAAGAAACCCCAGTGAGACATTCTGTAGAGAGGTCCTTTGTTAGTATAACATCTGACCTTCTCTATCTTTGGAAATCATACAACTTGGCTAATGCAGTCCTTAAAAAATTAATCAAGCAGATTGTAAGGCCCTAGTTACAGTAGAGTCAGCCAATTATGAGTTGCTCAGAAATTTATCATTGGCATGCCCAACCACATTTTCCCACATACAGATTAGTAGAAATATTTGGAAACAGGGCCCATTCCCACCCACCCCACTTACAATATGTGTTCAGTGAAACCAATTTCAACAAAGTTTTGTCTTAGTAAAACAGGCAATTTATTTGGGAATCTTTTTTATTTCTCTGTTTACCTGTAACATCTTTTTCTGCCAACATTACAAGTACTGCTCTAGTTAAAACCCAACCAGTGACTTTTATATTCAAATACAGTATCAAATTAAAAGCCATATGCCACAAGACTGAATTCATCAATAAGATTAGTAAAATTCCCAAAGATCATCTTAAAGTACCACTGTTGTGATAATAGGCTCCCAAGCTTTACTATGAAGAAAGCTTTTCTTGCACAGCAAAAATAAAGGGGCCAGTATACATGAAGGTTGGTTTTCCACAGAGCAGGCAATGCTGCTCTCAAATAAAGAAGCTCCTCCCAGATAAGCAGAATCAGATTCCAATTCAGTTGGTTTGCTGGCTACCCTTACTTTGAACTCTATATTTAACCCAGCAAGCTTCAAAGCAGGTGAGAAAATGACCTACAACTTAAAAGCAATTTTTCCTTTTTCAGGAATTCTGGCCTTGGAGACTATCAGCTGTGATATCAGCACATTCCACACCTCCCGGGATTTATGCACTTTTTTTCATTGCTCTAAGTCTAATGTCAAACTGGGTTTTCATTTCAACCAGGAGAAAAATCAAGGCAAAAACAAACAAACAAACAAACAAACAACAAAAAACAAATCCTAACTTGCTGAAAATAAAGCCTTGTTTGCAAAAAACATCCCCCCCAACACACTTTGGTGACAATGATGACAATATAATGGCAACAACTGAAGCTAATGCTCACCTAGATTTTATTTTGAGTAGACATGGTTCTAAACACTGGATATATTTTAAAATCATTTAATCCTTACCAACACTTATGTGGTATTACTATTCTCATTTTACAACTGAAGGTAGAAAAAAGGGAGTAACTTACTTGAGATTGCCCAGCCCATATTTGTCAGGGATGTAATTCAGAGCAAAGCAGCCTGAACCAGGGTCTAAGCCTATATCCATTCTGCAATGCTGCCCCTTTTCCACATTGATGGGGTAGAACTGCCTAGGTGTTCTAAGTTCCTCATATTGGCGAGCATGAGTACAAAGGGCCTATTGCAGCTTTAAATGTGCATATAGGACCATGTGGAACCTTGTGAAAATGCGTATTCTGGGGCCTGGTGTGGTCGCCTAGTGGCTGGGGTTCTTGCCTTGCATGTGTCAGGATTCCACATGGGTGCCAATTTGTATCCCGGCTGCTCCACTTCCCATCCAGCTCCCTGCTTGTGGCATGAGAGGCAGTCTAGGACAGCCCAAGGCCTTGGGAATTTGCACCCATGTGGGAGACGCAGAAGAAGCTCCTGGTTCCTGGCTTCAGATCAACACAGTATCAGCCATGTGGCCCTTTAAGGAGTAAACCAACAGCTGGAAGATCTTTCTCTCTCTCTCCTCTTCATAAATCTGATCTGCCTTTCCAATAAAAATGAATAAATCTTTAAAAATATATAGGTTCTGATTCACAAGTCTGGATTAGTGCCTGAGAGTCTAATTTGTTGTTGCTGTTTGTTTTAAAAAAGTTATTTACTTGAAGTCAGAGGTTTAGAGAGAGGGAGAGACAGAGGGAAAAATCTTTCATCCACTGGTTCATTCCTCAGTGGGCTACAACGTCCAGAGCTAGTCCAGGCTCAAGCCAACAGCTTCTTACAGATCTCACAAATGGTTAGCAGGGGCCCAAGAAGTTGGGTCATTTTCCACTGTTCTTCCCTGCATTAGCAGGGAGATGGATCAGACGTGGAGCAGCTGGGACAGGAAGTAGTTTTCTCCTCAAGTGCCTGCCATAGTCAGGGTTGAGCCAGGCTGAAGCGAGGAGCCAGGAACTCACCTGCTGCCTCTGAGGGACTGTACCAGCAGGAAGCTGGAATTAAGAGTCACAGTTGAGATCTGAAACTAGACACACTGATATAGACTGAGGGCATTCCAACCAGCAGCCCCCAATTGCTAGTCCAAATACCCACCAGGCGATTAGAAATTTAAAATGAACATGTAAATCGCATAGGGATAAGTTGTGTTTATAAAACCTCATGTGGCTTGGGCTCTGGAGGGGCCTGGGACTCCTGGCCTAGGTCACTGCTCCATCCTATGTGGTGGGGGCTGGGTCCTTGAGACCTGGGGGGGGGGATGTGGTGGGTTCCAAGTGGCATGGCCCGGGGTCTTGGGCCTGCCTGTGCGGTGGATGTCAGTTCCATGAACCCCAGGGATCCAGAGGGCCTGGGACTCCTGGTCCAGGCCACAAGCCCACCTGCGTGGTGGGAGCCAGGTCTGTGAGTCATGGGTGGGGGTTCTGAGGGGTCCATGAGCCCACCTAGAACTGGTTCTCCTCAGTGCAAAGGCTAGAGTGCTGGATAGCAGAGCATGGTGCACACAGAGGCCATGGCAGCTCACTGGGGCCTGCAGAGGGCATCTGGTTCCACAGCAGAGAATGAAGAACAGAGCATACGGACAACTACCCCAGCCAAATGATGACAGCAAATATCTGGACGATTGGAGATTATAAGGTCGACTGTGTCAGCCAATGGACACTGGAAGGGATTCCTTATCCATAGATAGGTGAAATCGACAGCATTTCAAAACTATTGCATTGGGCCTGGGTAGAACCTTCAAAACATGCGCAGTTGTGATCCTGGGATGATATTGGGTGGCCTTTCTCCATCCTTGGGTGCTGGGATGGTTGGGAGGCTGGGTATAGCTTATCCCCTTGTCTCTCCTGTCCCCCCAGAAATGAAAGAAAAAATAAAAAGCTTGCAAACAGTGAGTCACACCTACTTCTCCCTAACTCTACCTGATTGACTATGTAAACACCATCTAACATAATGATAATAACAAAAAGGGTTCATTTTAAAGTTAGACATTGAAATGCAGCAGGTGAAGTCATACCCCATAACCTAGTCTTTGGTTTGATGCCCAGCTGCTCTGCTCTTCTGATCCAGTTTCCTGCTAATGCAACTAGAAGGCACTAAAATTATGGCCAAGTAGAAGACATGGATGGAGTTCCAGGCCTTTTTTTTTGACCTGGCCAACACCAGCTTTTGCAGGCATTTAGGGAGTGAATCCACGGTTAGAAGGTCTCCATCACTTACTCTATCCCTCTGTTACTCTACCTTTTGAACAAATAAGTAAATCTTAAAATTTTAATTAACATAAAAAACTATTTTTAAGAAGTACATCATCAGGCACATTTTTAACATGATAATCATCAGTTATATAAATATGAAAAGACAGTGAATATAATGCCTGCTTACTCTTTAGTTAGAATCATATTTTACCTGTAATTTTTATTCTAAAATAAAAAACTTGTCTTAAAATAGGTAATAATTCATTCTCAGACTCTGCTAGAGGAGAGCTAAAGAATACATTCTGGTATGTTATCCTGAAGGTTCTTGTGGTGTTACTACTGAACTCACAGATACAGGCAGATTCCATACACTACTGACAGTGCAGGCAATGCATAAATCCAACATTATTTTCAACCAGTACCTCATGGAAATAAACTTCGAACAATTGCTCAATACTTACTACAGATTGTGGCTATTCTCACTCTATTTCACCTCCTTGTCACTTCAATGATCTGAGAGAAACCCAATAACCACCTCTTCCATTGCTCAAATTACTCAAATTACTTCCATTGGTTCACTACTCAAATTAACAGTACATTTATTTTCCAGCTATTTAAATGCATTGGCTTCCCTTTCTAGCGCATTTTGTTTTTCCCTGCCAGATTACATAGTAAAGTCACTACTTTGACATGCATTCTCTTCTGAAATCAGCACCACTGCAAACAGGGCTATGGCATAATCAATCACTAAGCTTCCCTTTTACACTTAAAGGAAACAGAATAGTCAGTTTCCAAACCAAATGTCTATCCTCCCTGAACAACAGTGAAAAGTCATTCTTCTTACAGCTTGACCCAGAATCAAGTGTAGACTTAGACTCCTAGGCCTACAGCCAGTGGCAACTTAACACATTATACAGCCAACCTTGGGGAAAAGGAAACCATTGCTGGCTGCCACTGGTGCCAGAAGAAGGCCAGCTAATCTGTAAGGCACAAAACAAACTATTTTTAAGGCAATAAGGGAAATGGTGAAGAAATAGGGAGTTAGAATGAAGGCATATGGAAAAAAATACAGAGAATATGTCACTAAGAAAGGACTACTTTTCTATGCTCTTGCTGATTTTACAGTTCAGAAGATAATGGAGCACTTTCTTTTTTGGGTTTTAATTCCTACCACCCAGTAAAAATGCAAATGTGTACATCAAAGATCGAAAAGGCTTGGAGACTTGAAGAGAATTATTCTGGGTAACTTTATATTGAACCAGTGACATTAATTAACTTATACAGAGAAACACACAGTCATGGAATACTCTTTGAGTCTTCAAGTAGTTCCTGAGTCAAGAAATGGGGAAGTAGTCTAAAGTAATAGGTAAAAATGAAAGGAAAGCTCTGAACATGACTGTACATGGAAAATTGGGAAAAGGTCACTAAAATCATGTAAAGAAAATAATAAGAAGAACCACTGAGTATGGAGGTCAACTGTATACCCAGGTGAGACGTCCCTCATGTCCCATCCTAACTACCTATTGTACATTTTACTTGCAGCAGCTCCATAGAACTAATAAGTTCAATAAACTAGGAGAAAAAAAAACCCAAAAGCTTGTTTACAAAATAGGTAATGTTTATAAATATTAAAGAAAATATACTAATAAAAACTATTCTTACTAGTAATGAGTAACAAGTTTATCACCAAAATGAGCTATATGGACCAACTTTATAATGTATGGTATTGTTTTCTTTAAACTTTTAATCAACAAATGTATAGCTCAAATCACAAAAAACTTATGCTTGACATATTTATGACAGCAATTTTACAAATCAATTCTTGTAATTTAACATAACGAAGTTTTCCACTGCTCAACCAGGTTAGGCCAAACATCAGGGATGGTTTTCTTGTGGGTTTTACAGATACTCCACACAAGTCCTTGAGATCATACTTACAACTTTGGCAAAAATACCCATGATTTCAGGAAACTGGTGTGTGAGAAGGGCTATCACCGCTGTAGAAGAGCACAGTCCTGCTGTGAAATGGATGAAAAAAGGAAGCTCTTTCTTTGGGTAAACAGAAACATGATGAAAATCTATGGGGAGAAAGATAGAAATTATTTTAATTTCAGAATACAGCATAAGCCACTACTAGTATTTCGAACTGAAATCTATTTTTAAAAATTAAACCAGGAAAACAATTTTATAAAAGAACAAGTAGTCTCTAGCCATGCAAGGCAGAGAAAAATTATTCATTATTTATTTCAATATCAGCAGCCAGATTGTGCTGGGGTCTAGGAACAGGACAGTATCATGCAAAATACTGTTTATCATGTTATGCTGAGGTGGTTCTGAAAAAAAGATTTCTGTCTTACTAGCTGCATGACCTTGAGTGTTACCAAATCCTCTAGAAGTTGCTATGGAGTTGGTGATGTAACCACTTAGTAAATATGAGTTGCTGAGAGCTTAGAAACAGTATAGCAACAAAGAAGCATACATGGCTTTGGACATTTCCCAGAGTCAACAGTTAACAATTTTATACACTTATTAATATGTTTTATATGTGGCACTTCACTGAGCACTATAACATTTAACCAATGTTATAGTTTTTGATTTAACAAAATCAAAGCCATAGGATTCTGGCCATAAGTGAAGTCTCCTGCCTCTCTCTTGGTTTTGTTTTTTTTTTAGATTTATTTATTTTTTTTAGAAAGATTTACAGAGAGAAGGAGAGACAGACAGAAAGATCTTGCATCTGCTGGTTCACTCCCCAAATGGCTGCAATGGCCAGAGTGAGGCTGATCTAAAGCCAGGAGTCAGGAGCCATGGCACTGGCTCAATTGGCTAATCCGCCAGCTGTAGGCACTGGTATCCCATCTGGGTGCCAGTTTGTGTCCCAGCTGCTCCTTTTCCATCCAGCTCCCTGCTTGTGGTCTGGAAAGACAGTACGGGATGGCCCAAAGCCTTGGGACCTTGCACCCAAATGGAGACCTGGAATAAGCTCCTGACTCCTGGCTCTTTATTTGGTCTGATTTACGTATTTACTCAGGTACTATAGTCAATACTCAGATTGACTATTTAATTATCAAGTACTTACATTTCAAGTACTTATACTGATTTTAAATTTAAAAATCCTTGAATAACAATTTTGAGATGAACCTATTTTGAGATGACACATAGTAAACATTCAAAAAATATCTGTTATACTCAGAGCTACTCTGGGACTTCATTAGTCCAGGAAGTTGATCACTCAGGGCTAGACACTAACCCAGAAATTCCTGATGTAATATCCTGCATTAGTAAGGGATGACTAATTCAGTGTTGAATCAAGGTCAGCCATAAATTTCACTTTTTTAAACACAATGATTCACAAAGCAGATTATACCTAAGCTTCCTTCAATAGCTATGATATTTTTATGTCTTATACTGTACTCTGAGGATATAAAACAAAAACCAAACTTACTAAATAGCTAACAAATTTCCAGATTCTTGAGCTATGTTTTTTTTTTTCAAAAAAAAAAAAGGTATAACAAAACTGAATTTTGTTGAAAGCTAGAAACATTAGAAACTGTAGACAACACTGTGCTTTCAGCACCCAAAGAACCAAAGTCCCCTTTGCCCTATCCCTCAGTCGGGAGAGGCCAATTTCTTCAGCAAACCAAGAGAAACAAACCCCGGTATTTGAGAAGACAGGGAACAAGACAGCAAAAATAATAGTATTAACAAAATTATTAACATTTGTGGCTTATAAAGTCCTTTAATTTATGGTAGCTTGTTTGATCTTTTAATAAGCCTAGTTAGATAACAGTCGTAGTCCCACTTTATAAGGTACAAGGCTACAAAGTTTTAACTAAGAAAACTTCCTAAAATATGAGGTTTTTAAACTATGGAGAGCTAATTATTTCTTCTTGGATTGCTTCATGTAGATTCATTTGTCAGTCAATGTTTGGCTAATATATCAATATAATGGATGACTGACTAATACAGAAACACTCCCTTGGAACGAAAGTTCAGATTTCATCACTAGCTTGTAGAGAAAAATTTATCAGGAGGCATAAAAGACAACTAAATAGCTATGTGAACAAGGGGAATAGTTCAAGTCTGAACTTATGTGATCCATAAGCAAATTCCAGAACACTGTAAGTCATATCAATTTTGAAGGAGAACTAAAAACAATACAAAAAAATAAGTACCCATGGGTATTAGAAGTCCACATTATTAAAATGTGTTCATTCTACCAGAATCAGAGACAAAAAAAAAAATACTTTAAGAACATACAATATAATCAAAGAACAGCCCCCCAGCAGATCCCTCCACTGCTGTTTTTGCAGTTTGCACTCTTTATGCAGTCAGAATTAACAAGGGGTTGCAAAAATGCAAGCAGTCTGGTTTTACAGTTTATGGGTCTGACAATATGAAAATAACCCTGAATGGATTCATATTAATATTTAAAGTTAACTTCATATGTGACTACTCCAAAAAGCTCATGGAAAAATATAATTAATACATAAATTTATTTTGGTGCAAAAAAATCTATGAAGTCATGAAGAATGTCCCCCACAATATGTATTTTCCATTAACCTTTACAGATCTCTCAAATTTGTAACAATTTATAAAGACAAGCAGTATTTTTAAAAATTTATTTATTTGTTTTTATTGGAAAGGCAGTTATACAGAAAGGAAGAGAGACAGAGAGGAAGATCTTCCATCTGATGGTTTACTCCCCAAGCGGCCACAGTGGCCGGAGCTGAGCCAATCCAAACGCAGGAGCCAGGAGCTCTTCCAGGTCTCCCACACAGGTGCAGGTGCTTTGGGCCATCCTCAACTGCTTTCCCAGGCCACAGGCAGGGTGCTAGATGAGAAGTAGGGCTGCTGGTTTTAGAACCGGCACCCATATGAGATCCCAGCACATTCAAGGTGAGGATTTTAGCCACTAGGCTATTGCGCTGGGCTCCAACAAGCAAATTTTTAAGCTAAATGTATTATCCTGACATAATACACTCTTGCATATTTGCCTTAAACATCCCTGTTTTCATTAAAATAAACAAGTACTGGCATCACCATGAACTTTTCTCATTAATGACATCCTAATTTCCAAAGTTCATGGATTCTTCTCAGTACTTACCTACTATCTCAGATACTCCTTCTTTAAGTTTCCAAGACATCTAATTCTGATTCTTGTATCTGCTGACCATTTGTTAAATGAACTATTTTCTGCCACCCAATCCTTAGACTTTTTGAGGCCTCATTGTTTCTGTACACTTAACTCACTCTGTATAATGCACAGTTTCCTTCATGATCTTGTTCATATCTTGGACTTCTTTTGCTAGTTATAAAATGATGGCTCCCTATTCTGTCTGTGAGATATAGAGACAAAGAGCTATCAGAATCCCGGTGGTTGGTTTGTTTCTTTCTTTCTTTGTTTCTTTATGTTTAGCATAACCCGCTTATATCCTCAGGCCACAGCCGACTGGACCAGAAATGAAGATCTGAATAAATTTGAGTCTTTCTCCAGAAGCTTTACAAATGGGGTTGAGAAGTCATGTCAAAAAGGGACTGAGGGGAGCCGACTGCAAAAGGCAGCCGAAGGCAGACACACAGACAACTGACTTGTGGAAATCCTAACAGCCCTCCAGTTCTGGTGCTAGTCCCTTATGAGGTCAAATAACAATCGTTGCTTTGGGATTCTCGATATCCCAGGTTGTTCCAACATATGCCTATTTATGCTGAAGTGGCTTTAGTTTACTTATTCCAAAAGTATGTTGACAACATTTACTATTTATACATTATAAATGAACTTCATAATATACACATCACAGATATGTATAACAAATATATCTTATATACATACTGTTATAAGATGTAAATTAGATCTTTATATACATGTGTTAAATAGTTCATATAATGCGTAAGTACATAAATACATATAGACATAACAATGAAATGTTACATGAGCAACATAATGAAAGCCAATATTTATTTACTTCCTCAACCCTTATTCCCAAATCCACTCCTACTGTTGTATGAAAGATGTAGCATTCTTCAAGTCATGAAAGTCAGAAAATGGTGAATCCTGCTTAATCCTCTGGAAAGACTGGTTCTTCCTCCTCAAACTTCCATATAATCTAATCTATAGATATGGCAATTAGCACATTGTTTTTAAGCTTTTTTATTAATCTGTGAACAGCCTAGGAGTCCAGAATAGGGTAAGAAAGAAAGGTACTAACATTTATCCACTTTTTTACTTAAGAGGCAGAAACAGACATGTGGGTCAGGACCAGGAGAAAGGAGAGTGTACTTCCAGTAGCTGGTTCATTTCTCAAACACCCAAACCAGTATCTTAATTGTCAGGTCAAATGTAAACCACAGATTTAATATGCCCTAGGCTTGCTTATTAGAATAAATTAATGTTCCTTAATAATTCAAACAATATTAAATGGTAGTTTTTATAGCAAGCATTATAAACACACAAGAGGAAAAACAAAAACAAAACCAAAAACAAATCCGTAGGCATTCAAAGAGTTTACTGTTTAAAGGGGAAATGAAGTACACAATCAGGGCCAGGGAAGGAATGTGGTATGGCAGTTTAGGCCACCACTAGCCTCCCAAATGGGTACCAGTTCATGTCCTGCCTGCTCCATTTCTGATCCAGTTCCTTGCTAATGGCCTGGGAAAGCAGTAAAAAATGGCCCAGGTGACTGGGCACCTGCTACCATGTGAGATGAGACCTGGCTTCAGCCTCTTCTGCTCTGGTTTGTGTAGCCATCTGGGGAGTGAACCAGCAGATGGATGATATCTGTCTCTTCCTCTCTCTCTGTAACCCTGCCTTTCAAACAAATGTTAAAAAAATATATATATACAGGGGCTGGCATCTAGCCAGGACCTCAATTTTGGTCTTCCATATAGTGGTAGGGATTCAGTCACAGCACGGGATCACAGGAGGTAGAAAGTGGTGAGCCAGGAGCTGTGGCTGCGGAGACCTTGATAAAAGTCAGATCCATTACCCACAGCCTTCCAGGGTTTGCACTAATAGGAGGCTAGAGTCAGGATGTAGAGATGTAGGTATCAAAATCAGGCATTTGCAATATGGACTGCA